TGAGCCCCAAATTCATATGTTGAAACCTAATCATTCAATGTGATGGTATTAGGAGATGGGGCCATTGGAAGGTGACTACATCATGATGGTGGGAGGTCATGATGCAACTGTGAGAGTTAGGTGGCCATGGAGCCTTTTCTGGCCTTGTGGGCTGGCACATAGAAGCTTGCCAGCTTTTGTTCCCTGTGGGGGCTCATAGATGCTTTTCTGTGCAGATCAGAGTCTGAATGGTGTAGACTCTAGAGTGTATGTCTGGGTTTCTGGGGCTGGCTCCTTGCTTTCTCTTTTGTACAATTTTATTCTCTCCTTTTTGTCCCAGTCACAAGCATGAGGTTTATGGGCTTGTGCACCTGCTACCACTCCTCAGCCGGTCATAAATACCTGGCTTGGCCTGTATTAATTGTATCTCCTCAAATTGGTCCGTGAATGGTGATATCCTTTCTGCTGGGCCACTACAGCTAGTTTTGGTCAGATCCAGTTCATGGAGGTGATGGGAGTAGATCGTTCTTCCTTGTGAGATGAGCTTGGGCTCGTTCTAATCAGCATCTTCCCTCACAAAAGGATTTACCTCCTGGGCCGGCCCGGTGGCACACTGCTACAGTGCGCCACTTGGGAGTGTGGCGGCACTCCCGCCAAGGGTTCGGATCCCACATACAGACCGGTTCCTGCTCACTGGCTGAGCGAGGTGCGGGAGCAACACCAAGGGTTGCGATCCCGTTGATGGTCCCGGTCCGGTGCGGGCGCGACACTGAGGGTTGCGATCCGTTGCCGGACACGATAAAAGACAAAAAGGAAAAAAAAAAAAAAGGATTTACCTCCTGTCACATGCCGCAGAGCTTTAGCCATCAAGCCACAGGTGGGTCGTTCCCCTAACCAGGCCTCAGTTTCTTGTCAACCACCTTCCTCCCCATCCTTTCATCTCCTCTTGCCCAAATTGATTTGAGGATCTGAGAGTCTATTCCATGGCTGGCACCTCTCTGCAGTGCCCACCAGGAGGTCTTCTCAGGCTCAACTAAACATTCAGACCTCCCCATCCTTTCATCTCCTCTTGCCCAAATTGATTTGAGGATCTGAGAGTCTATTCCACGGCTGGCACCTCTCTGCAGTGCCCACCAGGAGGTCTTCTCAGGCTCAACTAAACATTCAGACTCAAAAACCCCAAATAAGCCACACTTGGAAGCCCAGGTTTCCTTCCTGGTATTTATTGTTCATATATAGTCCTTGCAGGCTGGATGCAATTTACTATTCAAGAGTCATTTTTACCATAAGAAATGTTGCCTGGTAACACAGCTGACATTCTACTTGTATCATATTTTCAGAACAGACCTAGGAAGTTAACTCAAGGGCAGATTAGTTCGTGGAGAACAGAAATGAGTTTGTTAATTTTTCTACCACGAAGGGGTCACAGATTACAGCAGATGGCTGAGTTTAGTGACAGATTTGATACTGGTATTGATTTCTGAGTATGTCTTATAGTTTCTGGGACTGGCTCCTTGACTAATCAATGGTACAGTTATAGACTACCAAACTGGCTGGTCTAACATTTGGGGAAGATAAACGGATTGCCCTTTTGAAAGAGAATAAAATATTCTCTGAATCTAATCAAATGAGATCATGGTCATGTAGTTGACTTTTAAGACAATTGATTGAAAGTCTTCACCTAGTCAGTCCAATGCCTGTCTGTGCTTCTTCGGGGACCATTTCTATCAATTTCTTTTTGCTTTTTTAAATTAATGGACTTTATACTTTAGAGAAGTTTCAAGTTTACAGAAAAACTGACAAATAGTACAGAGTTCCCTTATACCCACTTTCCATGATAGTTTTCCCTATTATAACATCTGACATTATCATGGTACATTTGTTACAATTAGTGAACCAATATTGATACATTATTATTAACGAATGTCCATACTTTACATTAGGATTCAGTCTTTGTTTTGTATACTTGTATGGGTTTTGACAAATGCATAATGTCATGTATCTACTTTTACACTTTCATTTGGAATAGTTTCACTGCCTAAAAAATCCCCTTTTCTCCATCTATTTATCCCTCCCGTCTGCTTCAGAACCCTTGGCAATCTCTGACCTTTTTACTGTCTCTTTAGTTTTGCCTCTTCCAGAATATCATATAGTTGGAATCATGCACTGTGTAGCCTTTTCAGACTAGCTTCCCTCACTCAGCAATATGCATTTAAGTTCTTCCATTTCTTCTTATGGCTTTATAGCTCATTTCTTTTTATTGTTGAAAAATATTTCATTGTATGGATGTACCACAATTTGTTTATCTTTCCATCTATTGAAGGGCATCTTGTTGCTTCTAGATTTGGGCAGTTATACATAAAGCTGCTATAAACATTTACATGCAGATTTTTTGTGTGGACATAAGTTTTCAATTCATCTGGATAAGTAACCAGGAGTGAGATTGGTGGGTCATATGGTAACATTATGTTTAGCATCGTAAGAAACTGTCAGACTGTCTTCCAAAGTGGCTGTGCTGTTTTTCATTCCCACCAACAATGAATGAGAGTTCCTGTTGCTCTGCATCCGCACCAACATTTGATGTTGTTTTTGGATTTTAGCCATTCTAATAGGTGTGTGGTGGTATCTTATTGTTGTTTTAATTTGCAATTTCCTGATGACATATGATGTTGAGTATCTTTTCAGAGGCATATTTACTGTTTGTATATCTTCATTGGTGAGGTGTCTATTCAGGTCTTTTGTCCATTTTTAAGTTGGGTTGTTTGTTTTCTTATTGTTGAGTTTGAGAGTTCTTTGTATATTTTAGATACCATGGCTGTATCAGATATATGCTTTGCGAATATTTCCTCCCAGTCTGTGGCTTGTCTTTTCATTCTCTTAATGGTGTCTTTTGTGAAGCAGAAAATTTTAATTTTAATGAAGTCCAACTTAACAATTTTTTATTTCATGGATTGTGCTTTTGATGTTATATCTAAAAAGTCACCACCAAACCCAAAGTAACCTAGATTTTCTCCTACATTAACTTCTAGAAGTTTTATAGTTTTGCATTTTACATTTAGGTCTACGATCCATTTTGAGCTATTTTGTGTGAAAAGTGTAAGATCTGTGTCTACATTCTTTCTTTTTTTTTTTTAACATGTGGATACCTAGTTGGTCTGGCACCACTGATTGAAAAGACTATCCTTTCTCCGTTGAATTGCCTTTGCTCCTTTGTTAAAGATCAGTTGACTATATCTGGATGGGTCTATTCCTGAGCTCTCTATTCCGGTCCACTGATATATTTGTCTAGTCTCTTGCCAATACCATACTGTCTTAATTACTATAGTTTGATATTGGATAGTGTCAGTTCTCTGACTTTGTTCTTTTTATTTCTTTTGCTTTTTTTCCAGTGAATGGG